AGAAAGGCAGCAGAGAAGAGACCGAGGGTTCTGGCCTAGGGCTGGTGTAAATGGTCCCCAAACACCACGGAACAGAGGCTTGGGAGGTGGTGGTAAGGCACTGATGAGTTCTCTTGGAGGCTTGTTGAACAGGAGGGCAGCCTGAGGTCTCCAACTGGAGGTGCTCAGAGGCCATCTGTATCAGGAGACCGCCCCCCCCGCCAGCACCCATGCCGAGGAGAGCGAGCCTCCCACATTCCTGTTGAGTCTGACCACCTCCCCTCTCTCTCTTCCCAGTACTTCGTCTTCACTGGGGTGTTGGCCATGGTGACCTGTGCGGTTTTCCTCCGCCTGAACTCTGTCCTGAAGCTGGCCGTGCTGCTGATTATGATTGCCATCTACGCGCTGCTGACTGAGACCGTCTACGCGGGCCTCTTCCTGCGCTATGACAACCTAAACCACAGCGGAGAGTAAGTGCCCGCGGTTGCGTGCTCAAAAAGTGCTCAGACTCCCAGTGGGAAAGGGAGCCGTTGGGAAAATGATTGAGATGGAGACACCAAAACCTGGGGACTGTTGGACGTGGACTTCTGTTTCTCAGCTCAGGCACTCGCTAGCCTACCAATCTAAGCAACATCCCTAGTTCCAATCCTGAACATCAGCTTTATAGACTGGACTGAATAGTAACTAAATAGGAGTTCCGGTCTCCTCCACACCCAATAATTTGTGATTCCTTCCAGTTTCACAGCTGCGAGACGTACAGGATCTGATTATAATTTGGCTGGGGCAGTATTAATAATAGCAGACATTGTGCGTCGGGCACTTACTATGCTCCTTGCACTGTATTGTTTTTGAAATTCAAAAAAGTACCAAAAAAGAGGGGCGCCTCGGTGGCTCAGTAGGTTGAGCACCTGACTTCAGCTCAGGTCATGATCTCGCAGCTCGTGATTTCGCGTCAAGCTCTGTGCTGATAGCTTGGAGCCTGGAGCCTGCTTCCAATTCTGTATCTCCCTCTCTCTCTCTGCACCCCCCCCCAAAATAAATAAACATTAAAAAAAATGTCTCAGCCTAGATTGCTTAGAACAGAGCCTGAGACGAGGCTGAAGGGTTGGTACACCCCCAGGGCAGTGAAAATAAGGGGAAGAGGGCAGGAGGCAAATGCAAGCTGACGAGGTATTCTGTGGCCACGTGGACTGTGAAGAGATTGAGGAGAGACACTCAGCTGGAATGTCTCTGGATGGGCAGTGAGGTGGGGAAAAGGCAGCTCAGGGCGGAGAAAGGGAGAGGAATTTCTCCATCGGCTCCAGCCCTTTCCTGGCTCTCGTGAGTCACAGCTCATTCTCTGGATGAACTTCCTGCAGTGTGGAGCTTTATCTGAGCTGGAAGTGGCAGAGACAACTCTCCCCTGGTGTGGGAGGCACCGGGCTAACTGAGACCACAAGGGGCCAACCCAATGAGAAAAAGATGAGGCCAAGATCACCCCCCAAAAAAACCTCAGAAAATGTGCATGATCCTAATAAGGTGAACGTCTATGAACCAACCCCTGCATAAACAGTGTTAATAACGAGTCATAGTTACTTCTGCACTCTTAAAAGGGTAAAGTATTTAAGCTATTTTGCTGAAGTTCTCTTCCCTGGCATTCCTCTCTTCTCTTTCTCGTACGCGCCAATTTCTAATGCACTTAATGTGTACCCCTCCCATCTGTGATTTTTTGTGGTTGTTGTTGTTTTGTTTCATTTCTTTTGAGGTAGGGGTGGGGCAGAGAAAGGGAGAGAGAAAGAGAGAGAGAGAATGCCAAGCAGACTCCACACTCAGTGCGGAGCCTGACGCGGGGCTTGATCTCACAACCCTCAGATCATGACCTGAACCGACATCAGGAGTCAGATGCTTGACCGACTGAGCCCCCCAGGCGCCCCCCAGGTTTTCTAAATATATATATTTAGTTATGTCTGTATTATAAATTACTTCTAAAATTATTTTCTTGTCACGCAGTATTGTATTTTTTAGTTACGTGTGGGTTGATGTCTACAGATGTAATTCCGTCGACAGCTTTCACAATCTCCGCAGCTGTAATATGTTCCTATTATATAATACAAACGTACCAAAATATATTTATCCTTTGACCTATTAATAGACTTTCAGGCTGTTAGCAGTTTTCCCTACTTAAAAAAACGCTTCAGTGACCATTATCGAAGACCTCTCCTGGAACTTCTATTCGAAAGTAAACTTGCTGCATTGTAGGGTATCCGCATTTCCCACTTTTACGATATTGCCAGATTTGCTCTCCAACGTGCTTGAAACAGTTTCCCTCTCACAAGCCGTGGTCCCGTTGCTTCTGGTTGCCACCCACACTGTCGTTAGACTTTTAAAATTCTTGTTGCATTTATGAGTGTCTCATTGTTTTCATTAGTTCCTTGATCATGACTAAGTGTGTGCGTTTTATATGTTTGCTTATTCACCATTTGGATTTCCTTTTGGGTGAATTGTCAGATCATATCCATTGCCTGCTTTACGTGTTAGGCTGTTTGCCTTTTTCTTACTGGATTTGCAAAGGGTCTTTATGAATTCTAGATGCTAATTTGTGCCTGCTGTACACGTGCATCAGACACTGTGTGTATATTTGATCCCCATGGCAACCGTCTGAAGAACTCGGGCTTGGGGAGGTTAAACAATTATCCTGGGCACGTGGCCAGTAAGGAACAGACCCGGATTCAAACTCGAGTCTTCCTGGCTCCAACGTCCACCTTTGTCAATACCGCGTAAACTTCTTTTAAGTCAAGCTGAAGAAACTCCCACCGGATGCCCAGGGTTCAAAGACCATCAGAATAGTTCCAAATTAGGTAACGTGGTTAGTGGCCACCAGTGTCCTGCGGCCAAACAGAGGGTAAAGACATGTAGGAACAAAATAAGCCACGTTTGTGGTAAAAATAAAATTAAACCAGCTACAACTTAGCCATTGAAAGGGGAGCACAGCTTCTTTTTTTTAATTTTTTTATGTCTTTATTTATTTATTTATTTATTTATTTTTGAGAGAGAGAAACACAGTACGAGCAGGGGGAGGGGCAGAGAGAGAGAGAGAGAGAGAGGGAGACACAGAATCCGAAGCGGGTTCCAGGCTCCGAGCTGTCGGCACAGAGCCCGACGCGGGGCTCCAACCCAGGAACCGTGAGATCGTGACCCGAGCTGAAATCAAGATTTGGACCCTCAACCGACTGGGCCACCCAGGCGCCCCTGATCTGAGGTCTTCGGCAAACACTTGTAGTGAAATCGTTAAGTAGGGATGTGAACGTAAACGTAATCCCAGGCTCACGGCTGCCAGCGTCCGAGTGTTTTTCTCAGCTTCTTCCTGCGCCGTGGTCGGTTATCGGCTAAGCTTGTATTGACTCCCACTTTGCTTTCAAAGGAACTAAACTAATGAGGAGCGGGAAGCTGCTCGGTTCAGCCTTCTCTCTCCACTACGGTGGAAGTCATTAGATGCCACTGTGTATCTCGTTGGCAGCCACAGCCTGCTCATGATGGTTCGGGCGCATTCTGCGGGTTGCTCCTGGGGGTCGGGTGCCCCGGTCACGAGAAGTGCAGAAAACCTTACACCGGGCGGCTGGGCAGCGTCTCCAGAGAGATGGTCCCACATACTCTAGACGGGCATCTCCCCATCTGCACAACTCCTTGTCTCAGTGGATGACGCTGAGCCCAAAACAAGAGAGGCACCCTCTCCCCCAATATCTTGTCAATCCCTGGGGACTCCCGTTCGTCAACAGCCCTTGCAGAGAAGTACTCTATCATAACACGCGTGAGTACAAGTTTCGGGGTTAAAGGACTTAGGTTCAGACCCCAGCTCTGCCATCAGCCAGCTGTGGGATCCCAAGGGAATTCGTGAAAAGTGACCATCTCTCTCAGCCCGGCTTTTCTCATCTGTAACGTGGGGGCAGTAACCACTGGTCCAGAGTAGAAGGGTCAGAGAGATCAAATGTGATCATGGAAACTCGGCACAAGGCCTGGCATAGAACAAGCACCTGATGAATACTAGCAGTTAGTGTCCCACCTGCCCCCTCCACGCTGCGAACGCTACAGTTCTAGAAAGGTCGTTACTGTCATTGCTGCGGTCACCTAACTGATCTCTCGGCCTCCACTCTCAGTCCACTCCTCTGAAGGCCACCAGAGCCATCTGGTGAACTCATTATCCTTCTTAAAACCCTTAAGGGGCTCCTTATTGCCTCTAAGAAGCTAAAAGTTCAACCTGTTTCTCAAGGACTCCACCCGCCATCCTGGTCTGGCCCCCACGACTCCTCTAGTCTTTTCCTTCTGTAGCTCCAGAGGCCACAGCGTACCCATCCAGTGTTCTAGCCATAGGAAACCAGGCTGGTTACCCACCCAGGGGGCTTCTGCCGGGTGCGTACATCTCCTTATTCCCAGCCCATCCCTCTCAAGGTCCAGCCCAAGGGCAGTAATGCCCCCTCTGAGCGTTCCTCGCTTTTAACCTGTGCGCCTAACCTCTCATTGCACTTCTCCCTCGGTGTTGCCATCATTACTTTTCACGTCCTCCTCTTCCATTAGAGTAGGAGCATTTGGGGGCAAGGACCATTACTCATGCTTATATCTTGGCACTTAGTGAGGTATCTGGCAGTGGGTGTCCAATTAAAGACTTGTTGGGTGAAACATTAAATACAAGAGGGACTGAAAGAAACGTTAGCTCCTTTGGAATCGTATTGTACCACTGAGTCACCGTAAGCCAAGTGTCTGCTCTCCAAAACCCTGTGATGTGTGCTCACCATCACCCTTAAACCAAGCATTCCCCATCCAGTAGGCACTTCTGTGTCCCACCTCTTCTAGGCCCTGCAGATTCACAGACGAATAAGACATTGTTTCTATCTTCAAGGAGCTTAGGGGCAAGAAAGTACAAGAAAGTGCATATAGGAGGGCACAGTGGCTCCTGAGAGAGCATGACTAAGATGTGGATTGACAGCCGGGCTTCCCCACGCACCAGATCAGTGAACTAGAGTGAATCGTTTAACACCTGAGCCTCGGTTTCTTCTTTACTGGAAGAGGGATAATGGTACTTAATTGTTGATGTGACAAAGGGCGAGCAACAGGTATGTAGAGTGTTATCGGAGGCGTGGCACAAAATTAGCACGTAGCTGATGCAGCCACTAGTCTGGGGACAGAATAAAGCATCAGTTCAAACTGATGGTGTATTTTGAGTTTCAAAAGGGGGAAATGGGAACTCATGGCTAAACCAAAACTTTGGTACGTAATCGCTAAAGCTCTGAACTTGGTGCTTGAGATGTGACTGCGCATCTTGACTCTGATAGAAATCAGCTGTGCGAACTTGGACACGTAGCTTCTCCCTGGGCCTCAACCTTAAATCTATAAAATGAGAGCCACCCAAGGGATATTACATCACATAATATGAAATAGAATGGACCCACTCAGCTCACATTGTAACGTATGTAATTACATGGAATTAGTTTCATTA